GAATGGTTAGTTAATGAACTAATGCGACTGATAATAAAAATCGAATATATGGACGCACGCTTAGTAATGCTTCCTGCAGATGTAATAAACCCACAAGCCAGATAGCCTTGCATATCCTTGGAGTCTTTTCTTTCCTCCTGTCGGGTAAGTCTTGCTGAGTACAATTGAGTACTCAGGGTTTTATTTCCCCCTATTGCAGGTGACAAGTGGATGCTAGAGCTGACTCTTGTGTATGGATTCCTCCTGGTGGGCTCAGAGAGGATTTCCTTTACGCTGCGATCATAGTTTCTATTTATAACTCTTACTAAATGTTTTTATAAATGAAAGTTTTATAATCTGTTGTCATAGTTTATATATCGATGCTTCATCATGCCATGAATAGATATTTATTTCCCCTGTAATTCTGATCACATGTTTATATTCCGCTATTAAATTAAATTATTCATAACTCTGATAACATGATCATATTCCTCTATTATAAACAATGAATATTATAATCTGATGTTGCATGGAAAGTGATGTAAGAAATGGTTAATAATGATATAAGCTTTATTCTCTCATTTGTGATCCTGATGGGAAAAATCTAGATTTTCGGGTTCTCCCCTAGGGTGTGCCCGACGGAACTGCGTAATTTGGTATCCTTCCTTGGATACTTAGTGTCTAATGGAAGACGAGTACTCCTAGGAGGCATTAGATTAGCTGGTTCTGCCATTGGGGAGCTCTCATGCTCATATAGATATCCCTAAGTCTTCCCGCTCTAGGTCTCGTAGAGGAGAAAAGATGAAGAAGTTTGGCAAGTGGTTGAAGGCAATCTTCGGCAAGTGCACCTATGCAGCTGACAGAGCGTATGAGACACAGCTTGAGCAGCGTCAACAGCGTGGACAGGACCTTCCACAACTTCCTCCAATTCCACCTGCTCCACAGTATGACCTTTCGAGTCTCTCCAACACAAATTCAGATAATGAGGATGATGATGATGATGAAGAGGAGCAAAAGGGACGAGCAGCAGATTAGGATGAGACCCTAGAGGGATACCGTCAAAGATAGGAGCCAAGGCGTTCCACTCGTTCCACTCGCTACGCCGCCACTACTCACTGTTAGGGTTGTGCACGTATTGACTCCGACAACGATGATGGTGATGGTGGTGCCGGGACTGCTGTAGGAGGTGCTAGGGCTGCAGGAGGTGATGATATTGATTAGACGTACATCCAGGGAGATGACGAGTACTTGTTGATCTTTCTTCTTTTCTTCTCTTTTTGGTGCTTTATGCCAAAGGGGGAGAAAATTAGAGGGGTCAACAACTTTTTTGACGCCATGGAGGGTGCTGCAGCTAGAGTCATGTTCATATCCGTTTTGGGTAGTCTTCGTTAGGTGAAAGTTTGAGAGTCGCTCAAAACTCTAAATTGTGAAATAATGCTACTATTTGACTCTTTGTATGGGATATGGACATATATTAATCTATGTTGTCGCTTGTGATACAATTGTGCTAGAATATATATCATTATATGTATCACATGCTGTGTGGTGTCTGTTCTGATCTGTGCTATTATAGCAAGTGCGACAGTGCCGCACCCAGCTGCAACAACAAACCATGTTGTGCATAAACTGTCATTTGCATCGCATTTTACATACCTGACACAGTATGCAGCACCTCACAGGAGCATGGATCTAGGGGGAGCCCCATCACTTTCACTAAAATGTGAATCTTGGCTTCTTATGCCAATTTGAGAATTCAATTCTGTATTCACATACTTAGGGAGAGACTCTACACCCATAGCTCGAAAGTCTCAGTATTTATTTCATATCTTTTGTAAGCTCTCATTGGGTTGTCATCAATCACCAAAAAGAGAGAGATTGAAAGTGCAATCAAGCCTTAATTGTGGGTTTTGGTGATAATGACAACGCAATTAGAGAACTAATAAGATTTATTGAGATGACAAGCAGGGAACTTATATTCGAGGATGCTACACGGAACGGAGGAGTCCCCATTTACAAATGTAGATGGCTTCAAACTCAAATGAGGTTTAAATTCTTTTATATATTGAATTTGAGTATAGAAAAAGTTGTACTATAAAGGAGGGCATAATGCTTAAGATAATATGTGCTACCAAGTGCTCAAACAACCACAAGCATCTTTAGATTCAAAGCCAAGACAGTCTACACTTCACTATTACCCTTGCTGTCTTGCGTGGTGCGGCACTGTCACTTGAAGAGAGGCTCGCCCGACCCCTTGGTTGCCGGCTCCTGTTCACCCGACCCCTTGGTCGCGGGCTCCGGCTCGCCCGACCCCTTAATCGCGGGCTCCGATTTGACTGACCCCTTGGTCGCGGGCTCTGGCTCGCCCGACCCCAAGGTCACATGCTCCGGATCGCCCGACCCTTTGGTCGCGGGCTCCGTCTCGCCCGACCCTAAGGTTGCGGGCTCCGGCTTGCCTGACCCTTTGGTCGCGTCCTCGTGTCGCCCGACCTCTTGGGAGTAGTGTCCATTGCGGGCAAGGGGAATATATACTTTTCCCTTTACTTCCCAACGGCTATCTATGATTTTAGTGATCGTTGGGGGTCGGGGGTATATATACCTTTCCTCTTCCTTCCCAAGAGTAACGAACTAGCTCTCTTCTTCCTCACTTCAGCATGCCCAAAACTAAGCAGGAGCTCTCTTTCTCTCACTCCATTGTTGACCTCAAGCCCTCAAGCAAATCCATTGATTTTCCCATCAATTCTTGAGGAAAAAGGGTCCCAAACTCGATTAGAGAGCAGCTACATTGATTCCCAAACTCTAAAGAGCACTTGGTTCACGTTTTGGCCGGCGGTTGTGTTTGTTACTCTTGGAGCTTGGCTCCTAGCCGGCTAAAGCATCGCCCGTGGAGCTTGCCAACTTGTGTGGCAACCCCGGGAGGTTTGTAACCATCTCTTGAAGCTAGTAAACTCACCCCTCATCTCAAGAGTTAAGTCTCTTAACTTGAGAACGAGGAAGGGTTGGAAAGCTCTAAGCCTTAGTGGCTAACCTCAACAACGTGGAGTTAGGCAAGTCTTGGTAGAGAGCCGAACCACAGGATAAATCATTGTGTCACTTGTACTTGATTTACATTACTTGCATGATATATTATTGATTGAGGTGATTTCTAGAGTTTGAGGCTGATCTACTTGTGTGTGGTTTTTCCACCACTTTCAGCTATCGATCTGTGATCTACTACCCTGCAGGAAGCTAAGAAATATACCTGATCTAAATTTTGTTAGGAAGATTTTGAACTGTGAACTAATCTCTCCTACAGATGCGGCAGTGCCGCGCTCACAGAGCGACAGTGTCGTGGGTGAATTTGACTTCGGTTTGAGTTGAATTTTTATAGGCCTATTCACCCCAGTGCATGCAGAGATCCTACAATGTTGCAAGTGTTTCGAGACATGTTGCAACCGTTTGTTCAAAGTGTTTCATCTATTTTCCGGACATATATTGTTGCAATCGTTTTTTTTATCTAGATGTTGCATATGTTTCACACATATGTTCCAAAATGTTACAGATGTTTCATTTTATGTTGCGTTAAGTGGTTTCAAGTTGCAAGTTGCAAGTGTTTTATTGGATGTTTCATGTGTTTCCCAGATATTTTGCAAGTACATATTCTAAATGTTTCATCTATTTTAGACGTATGTTGCATTCAAATGTTTTTTCATGTTGCAGGTGTTTTATGTTGTTTGGCCGGGTTTGGCGAAATCTGAGCGCAAAGAAGTGCGAAAGTGGAGGCGATGGCGGTAGGGGCACAAGTAGTCCTCCTGTGGCATGCGGGTGCGGCAAATGAAGGGGGCGCGGGCGGAAAGTGGAGGGGACGTGGGTGGACAGAGGCATGAAGTGGGGGCGGTAGCGGGTGCGAGAAGCGGAGGGCGATGGTGGTAGGGGCACAGGCACACCCCGCACGGTATGCATGGCTCCCAAGCAACTGCAGCAGGCAGTTGTGGTAGGTGAGTTATATTGCAACATGTGCAACATCTCAATCTACTTTGAAATATTCAGATAAAACACTTACAACATTCATACGAAACCACTGAAACACTTGCAAAAGCATATGAAAACTCTTGAAAACCATTGTAAACATACGTAACATCTGGATAATAGTTGCAACATACATGTGAAACATATACAACATCCAGATGAAATACTTGCAATGAACGTCTAAAAAAACAGATGAAACATTTAGAACATACACTTGAAACAGATGTGTATATTTATTACAACATGTGCAACATCACAATCTACTTTTACAACATTAAGACGAAACACTTGCAACATCCAGATGAAACATCTGAAACACTTAAAACATAAGCTTGCAACATGCGCTGCGCAATGTTACTTTGCTGCTTGGATGAGGTACCCGAGCAGCATGGGCACGCTGGCGAAGGAGAGCGCCACGAAGGCTAGGAGCTTCCACACGCCGAGGTCGAGCTCATCAGCAAGAAGGTCAGCATTAATCAGTGCCCATAGGAGGTCGTCGTTGTCGCCCCCACGTCGCCGAAGACGTTCGACCCATCGACCACGCCTGCATCAACTAGGTTCTGGAGGAGGAGTGGGCGTGGCGTGGCGAGGTTATGGAGGGAGTGGGCGCAGCGTGGCGGCAGATGCGGCGCGGAGAGGGATGGGGGCGCCGGACGGAGTGGGGCATGCCCCCGATGTGTTGAAGCCGCGATGAGCGAAGCGAGTGGGCCATCGGTGGGGGTTATGTCGTGGGGAAACAGACCGATTGCTGTTGGACCCGATTCGCTTCGCAGTCTCAGAAACGGGATGTGTCCGGAATGCACATGCCTGGACACACGTCCTGATCGTAGCATTAGCGCTTTGCAATTCACACGTAGCGTCGCCCAACCCCGGCCGTGGGAAATCCGAAACCTAAACTTCACACTTCACAAAACGCATGATTCGCAGTGCTACTGTGCTAATTTTAACTGCATGCGAACTGTTGATACAATATCTTCAGGAGCGAGTTTCCTGATGAACAAACACCAGCAGCACTCTCAGAACTTTTTGATGAATTCGTAGATGTGCTCGGTGACCTCCTCCGGCTTCTCGAGGTGGATGTAGTGCGCGGCGCCTGCGATCACGGCCACCTCCTCCAGCCCCGGCACGTCGCCCTTGAGCCCGCCCTTGTGTATGTACTCCTGCACCCCCGTGTAGTTGTACGACATGGCGTCCTCGCCGGCGATATACTTGGTCGGCACGGTCACCTTCGCCCCTGTCCATGGCGCCGTCAGCTCCCAGTTCCTACACCACACCACCAGATTAGCTCACTTTATCTGAGATTGTTAATCGTCAGCGGAAGGGAATTGAGAAAACGATGTATAACCATAAAGAATTTGTTCTTACAGGTCGAGGCATCGGTAGAAGTTCATGGCGCCGGCGAACCCGGTCTCGTCGAACTTGGCGGCGAGCCGTTCGACGTACTCCTCCGTGAGCCACGGCGGCAGCGGGATGTCCTGGTCCTGCGGGCCCCACCACTCGGGCGACAGCGAGATAGCGCCGGTGTCGCGGGTGGTGAGCAGCTTCCTGAAGATGAACCGGGTGTCCATCCGCGCGAACTCGGCCTCCATGGCGCCGGGCTCCTGCAGCCGGAGCAGGTAGTAGCCTTCGCCGTAGAGCCGGCGGAACAGCTCGAGCGGGCGCACGCCCGGGTTGCGCGGCATGAAGGCGACGCTCATGTTGACGAGCGCGCGCACCCGGTCCGGGCGGAACGTGGCGAGGTGCCACGCCAGGAGCGCGCCCCAGCCCTGGCCGACGACGTACACCCGCGGCAGGGCGAACGCGTCGAGGAGGGCCACCACGTCGCCCACGAGGTGGAAGGCCGTGTAGGAGGAAGGGGACGGCGGCGCCGTGGAGTCGCCGTAGCCCCGGAGGTCGGGGGCTAGGCAGCGGTAGCCCCGCGCCGAGAGGGACCGCAGCTGGTGGTGCCACGAGTGCCAGAGCTCCAGGAAGCCGTGCAGGAACAGCACCGCCGTGCCACCCGCCGAGCCGGAGCCGGAGCCGGCCTCGGCGACGTGGATCTTGATGCCGTTCACGTCCAGCGTCCGGTGGGTCACGCTGACACCCTCCAACGCCGTCGCGGCCATCTCTCGAATCCTCGATCGATCTTATCTCTGTCTTTCAGCTCTCTGTCTTTTGAGTTTCTTGTCTGAATGTCAGTCTCTGGTGGAGTACTTATACATGGTCTCTGTCAGTCTGATATACATGAAGCCGAGCGGCTAGGAATGCTAACAATGGCTCTGAAAACAACCTTGTATTTTCTGGCTTTTACTGTGTTCGTTTCTTGCATCTTTGTGACTGCAGAATAGGACGAAATTTGCGGAAATAAACAAAGAGCTTACACATCATAAACGCTAGCAATATGCTCTGCTTTGGCTAATTGGCTGGCTGCGGGGGATGCTACAAGGGCATCTTCGATATTCGATCTATAACCAGGGCCTGTCCTCACTTGCTGTTGAGTATATGTATATCGAAAGAAGCATCTTTTCAGGTCAGATTCCGCTCATCAGCTGACAAACTACCTACTGACTGCACTGTACAACAAATACGGCAAAGGAATAGCAAGAGAGACAAACTGTTAATTTCCGGTATACTTTTTTAACCATTATGGATCAACATCCAAACTGTATTTTGTTTTACGGGAATGCTATACAACACATGTGTGTTTCTTCCTTTGTTGGCACATGGATTTTCTGTCCGTCGGATCCGTCTCGCGCGCGTCTGCTGGGCGTTGGATGTGGTCTGCTGTCTTTGTTTCTCTGACCTGTGGACCTGAATGTCGGCGCTAGTTTTGATTTTTTGGGAGTCACGCCCGATTCAGTGGCGTCCGCCCTCCCACCCCACACCCTCCATTTCCATTTCGTTTCGACTTCTTTCAGGCGACGCGCCGCTCTCCTTGGGCGGCCGACCGGTGATTTCTAGGGTTCGTCGAGGTAAGTTCTCTCCGCTCCCTTCTTGTCTTCCATGGATGCTAGGGCCGACCGGCGATTTCTAGTGCGTTTTGGTTTGTCCCCTTTCTTCTGAATGTTGTTTTCCCGGCCGTCTACGACGAGCGTCCTACTGAGAGTACGCCGCTGCCGCGCTCTTTCTTGCCCCACGGCGCCGCGCCGCGACTCCGCCGCTCGCGGGAATGCTGTCCCAGCCCCCGCCTGGCTCCACCGGCGGAAGCCCCTGGTTCCCGGCGCCGTTCTAGACCCCGGGCCCCGGCCTCCACGGATGAAATCGCCCGGATCCTGTCGGCACTCTCCGCCCAGGCCGTCCCCCCGGGCTGCACCGGCGGAATCCGCTGGATCCTGTCGACGCTCTCCGCCCAGGCCGTCCCCCCGGGCTCCACCGGCGGAACCCGCCGGATCCTGGCGGCACTCTCCGCCCAGTCCATCCCCCGCGCCGCGCAGAAATTTGTACGCACATCTCACCCTCTCTGGCGGACTCGCGACCGCGCGCGGCGACGAGGCCCGCTGTCGGTTGCCACGGCAGGCTGCTGGTTCTCAGCCTCGTGCTCTCGGCGCCGGCGACCCTCCACCTCCACAAAAACTGCCCCAATCCCGATCCCCTAACTTCTTCAAGCAGCGGAAGACCCACGTTGTTTATTTTAGATCTCCTCGTTCTGTACTTGTTTCTGACTGGATTTTCATCGGTGTTTCGGCGATTCGCCCTTTCTGTGAAGACCCGCGTCGGATTTGCTTGCCGTCGTTGTTTCGCCGTCGTTGGTGACTACTTTTTTGCGCTTTGTTAATGATTTAGATGTTGACCTGTTCGATTAGTTTTCCCCCGTTTTTTGTTCTTATTTTTTTTCAATTTTTCCCTATTATTTGCATATAGGCAGAGGCGCTGGTTGAAGTCGAAGTGTAGTAGGGAGGTCGACCCCGTGGTTGATCCTGAGTTGCCCGTGCCTGATTCGGAGGTGGAGGCAGAGACGGAGTCCGGGCCTGAGCTGGAGTGTAGTTCTTCTGCATTGCTCATTAGTTTGTTTGGTGAGTTGTTTATTTAGTCTGTTTTCTAATTTTTTGCAGATATGGTTTATTTATATTTAGTCATTGGTTGGTAAAACCATGTGATCTTTCTGTAGTTGTTTTTGGATCTATATAGATGGATCCTGAATGATTGTAGTGTTTGTTTTCCAATTTTCGTAGATCCAGTTTATGTTTAGTCTTCTCTGTTTATCTGAATTGATTTTCGGTCCTTCCATACTTTATCTGTAGTAGCTCGTAGCTATCATGCTCAGTTGTGATTGCTCGTAGTTTACAGTAGAGTTCAACTGTACTTATAGTTGTTGATTTAGTTTAATTCATAGTTATCTTTGATGTAATTTTGCTAAATTGTTTGCTTTTTTTCTGCAATGATGAGGTCTAGGTGCATGTGTACTAGGAGGCAAAGTTGTAGTTGTATCTGTTGTAGCTGCATCTTTTGTTATTTTTTTTTTCATTTGGCTTTTGGTTTTTTTAGTGCGGATTTACTTGATCATCTGGATAGTTGTTAAAGTTGTTTCAGGTAACTTAGTTAGATGCCCTAGTTTGATTTTATTAGTTGGTGTGTCCAATAAATTCCCTCCTGGTTTTTTGTGCCTGCGCTTGTGTTGTGTTTAGGCCTGGCCAGTGCCTGGTTTCTTGTATGTTTGTATGTACCGTCAGAATAATTATTTTAAGAAAAGTGCTCCAGTAATCCCTTCTTAAAAATTAGAACTGACACTAAAGCATCCTTAATTGATTGGTTTATTTTGAATTACCTCCTGAGCCTGGCCCGGTCCCTCGCAATCCAATTCTTCACTTTCTCTTAGTTGTGGGGCACGATGGCTTGATCTATGGATCAGACATGGCTGATAACCATGGTGATTCATTTTGGGACTGGAGCACTGAAAATTTGTTGGCCTGCGAGGACAGTTTGTTGGACACCACCAGCAGATGACGCTCTATGGTGGACAAAATGCATACTTCTGTTCACCTTTTGCCTATATGGATTTCATTCTTAGACTTCCTTTTACTTTGCCACTCAGTGCTCATTTGAGGTTGTGCTTCCAAGACTATTAGCTTATTGCAATCTGTGTGAATGAATCAGTGACATTAGGATGTGTGCGCTAGAAACTCTGCCACCTGCATACCTCTGCACTCGCCAAAGAAAGCTGCCAACTTTTTTTTGGGGGGGGTGAGGGCCACAATGGGTTAGTGAGGATGGTTTCATTGTTGTGCATTAAGCTTGTTGATGGCTAGTTGACATCCTGATTTTTTAACTGAATTCAGGTGCAGAGATCCAAGGGTTGGAAGAGGGTACCCACTGAAGGCTGTTAGCAAGGTAATAATATTGTTAAGCCTGCATATTGTGTGCTCGAGTGAAGTTTTTATTTTGATTTCATTGTTTCTGATCCCATGTTGAAATCAAAATAGTGAAACTTTATTTTGATTTCATTGTTTCTGATCCCATGTTGCAGTGAAGTTTTTGGCTCTGCTTGTGTTTTTCTCTTTTGTTGCTGATGATCAGTTGATGCTTATTTGTTTGTAGTAGTTTAATTCTTCTGGTTGGTACTTGGTAGGAGTAGTCTAATTTTATTACTGTAATGTTGCTGATGATCAGTCAACTCCATTGTCACTGTTTATTTTATTTTTACTCAATGTCTATGATAACATAAGATTTTGTCTGACGATAGTTTTGAATAGATGATCTGTCCATAGGTTGCCATGGTATTACTAACTCAGTTGTAATAGCTACACTTACTTTCTCATTAGTTAACTATGAGTAGTAATAGGAATAGAGGACATGGGGAGATTTGTGATGATTCTGTGAGGTAGTTTTTTCTAGTCTGAACCTGTAGTGTTAGCACAAAGCAGTGTAGAGCTAGTTCAGTTGTAATCCGTACTTATGTTATTTCTTTATTTGTTCTGTAAGCTTCCAATATGTTGATTGTAGCTTTAATATTTTCATCTTTGATCGTTCGAGTTTAGATGGACAGGCGCATGCGGAGCTCTTCATGTCCCCCTGTTATTCAATCGTTGGCTCCTCGGTTGAAAGGGAACCTATTTTAGTAGAGTTGCCTTTGAAAGACAACGATGTCTGTGCTATCTGCTTGGGTGTCTTAAATATCAGAAAAGAGGACGATGATGAAGCTGCTTTAGAGGCTGCCATGGAGACACCGAGGGTGCTGCCTTGTATGCATGTCTTCCACAAGATATACATTTTTGAGTGGCTTGGTAGCGATAAGTCGTGCCCTCTGTGTCGATATAGGTATCCTAGTGTAAATGATGGTGATGATGTTGAGTTGTAGTTTGGTTAGTTGATATTATAAGTATTGGTTTTTTTTATGAATACCAGCTATTGCTGGCTTGTAATTATTATATTGAACTATGATATATAATATATTTGGCTCTAGTTATTCCAGTGATCTTAGTTCATTTTTTATCCTTAAATTCATGTCATTGAGTTGTTTGGAGTTTCAGGTTATTTTTTCAGGAAGGCTCTCAGTTATTTTTTTATTTGTTGTGTAAGCGTCCAATTACTTTTCGAGTTAGTTGTTTTGCTTCTTCTTTTATTGGCTACAGCTAGCAATGAGGTCATTAACCAATTTTTTTGTTATGTTATGTAGCCATGGATGATGATGAGTTTCTTTCTGATGCTGAGTCTGGAAATGGTGAGAGTGAGGATGACTTTGCTATGAACTCTGAAGAAGACAACAACTCTGATTCTATGAATGTTGGCGAGGTACTAAGTTCACTTGATTTTGTTTTGTTAGTGCACTTGTGTATTATAATAATATGATATATGTTGTTGCCTTTTTTAGATCGAAATCCCACAGATGATGATATTGATACTACTGAGATGCTGAAGACTTTCAAGCATGTGCAGGAAGCCTTATTTGGAGTATGTTCTGAAATTTGTATGGTGAAGATTCCTGTATTTAAATTATAGCGCAGTTGTCTGATATAGACTAGTTACAAAATTCTTAGGCCAGGGAAATCATTTTTATGTTAATATTTTGTCTATTCCTTGACGTGTAGTTATCTAGGTACTATTGTTCTCTTTAAGCCAGAATAGTTGAAAGAATGATAATATATTTACGCCCTATCTTTTATAGTGTGATGCAAGCCATTTATTTGTT